CACCCATCCATTGATGGACATTTGATTCATGTCTGCTTCTTGGCTGGTATGAGTAATGCTGCTATAAACACTTGTATACACGTTTTCGTGTATGTATATAGTTTTTACTCTTTTGGGTATAGATCAAGGGGTAGAATTACTGGCTCTATTTTTAACTTTTTCTATGGTACTGAGAACTGAACCCAGAGTCTTCACATTGCATTACATTCTCAGCCTTTATTTTTTATTTTGCAACAGTGTCTTGCTAACTCACTAAGCTGCCCAGGCAAGGCTTGAACTTTCAGTCATTCTGCCTCGGCTCCCAGAGTGTCGGGATTATAGGCCTGCACCACTGTGTCCAGCTTATTTTTAGCTCTTTGATCAAATGCCATACTACTTTCCAAAGTGGTTGCACAACATCCTTACCAGAAGTGTGCCCTTACACTCATCATTATTTTTTTTCTTAACTGTATTTATAATATGCTATGTATTTATTTTTAAAATACAAGTGAAATACTTTTATAATTATGTATATTATAAGATTATCTCTATTTTATTATAGTAGATGTAATTTTAGTTTGCATTTCCTTGATGATTAGTATATTGAGCATTGTTGCATCTGCTTGTCAGCCATTTATGAATCTTCTTTGGAGAAATGTCTAGATTCTTGTACTATTTTTACATTACATTGTCTTTTTATTGTTGAGTTTTAAGAGATCTTTATGTATTCTAGACACTATACTATTACTAGAGATATAATTTGGAAATATTTTTTCTCATCTTATGGGTTGTATTTTCATCTTCTTGATGATAACAAACTTCGAAGCACAAAACCTTTTTTTCTTTTTTGGTTGTTTGTGGTACTGGGGTGGAACCTATGGGGGCTTTACCACTGAACTGCATCCCAAACTTTTTAATTTTTTCAGATAGGGTCTTTCTAAATTGACTGGGTTGGCCTCAAATTTATGATGCTCCTGCCTCAGCTTCCGGAATAGCTGAGATTACAGGTGTGTGCCATCGTGGTAGCAAGCTTAAAATATTAATAAAGTCTTATCTTTGTTTGCTTGTGCTTTAGTTGTCATACCTAGGAAGTCTTGATTGTCCCAAGGCACAGAGGTGTGTGGGTGTGCTCTCCTCTAAGAATTTTATTGTTTCAGCTTGACATGCAGGTCTTTGATCCATGTTGGATTACATGGATTAAGATAGGTGTCTAACTTCATTATTTTACATGTAGAATCCAATTGCTCAGATCCATTTGTTAAAGACACTAATTTTCCTCTTGTGTGTTGGCACTGTTTTATAAAAAAATTAATTGCCCATAGTATAGGTTTATTTCTGAGTTCTCAGTTCTTTCCGTCACACACACACACACGCGCACACACACACACACACACACACACTCATATATTTTTTGGTACTGGGGATCGAACTCAGGGCCTTCTGTTTACGAGGCAGGCGGTGGCGCCACTGAACTAAATCCCTGGCCCTGCATATATGTTTTTATGGTAGTAGCCATTGTCTCAATGACTGAGGCTTTGTAGTAAATTTCAAAATCAAGTGCGAGGCCAGGGATTTAGCTCAGTGGTTTCACTGCCGGCTGAGCAAGCACAAGTGCAAGCGCAAGGGCCAGAGTTCGATCCACGGTACCAAAAAATCAATCAATCAATCAATCAAGTGGAGTCCAAGTTCTTGTTTTTCCAGATTGTTTTGGGTAACTGGGTCCTTCACATTTCCATACTAATTTTAGAATTATTCTGTCAACGTCTGCAGGAACAGCAGCAAGGATTTTGATAGGACTCACCCTAAATCTGTTGGTCAGTTTGGAGAGTATGTGAAATGTTAATTAACACTGTCAATGTTAAGTCTTTGAATCCACAAAGTTGTCTTTCCACTAGTTTAGGTCTTCTCCAATTTCTTTCAGTGATAAAGTTTTCAGTATATATGAGCTTCATTTGTTGAATTCCTTCCTTTTATGAGTACACATTTGGAGTACATGATGTTTGCATTCATCTTAGGTACAGGCACTGAACATATCTTGATTCTTTTTGTTCCCCTTCTCCTCACCACCTACCTCCCTTCCTCTGTCTCTAGATCTCCTTTTCCCCTCCCTTTTCATTACCATTATTATTAGTAGTAGTTCAGGTTTGCAACATAATAAAGATTGCATTCATTGACAGTAGTTGGCCCATCTACATGATCTATCTTAAATCTTGTTATGCTCCCCCCCACCTCCACCCTCAGACTCTTAGTCCTCCTGCCATTTGCAAAAGATCTATCTCTGTGTTTCCTTTTATCAATCTTGTGTTTTGCTCTTTATTTTTACTTTGTATTGCTCAAATAAGAGAAACCATACGATATTTAAGCTTGTATGTCTGATTTATTTCACTTATTATTGTTTTCAAGGTGTATCTATTTTCCTATAAGTATCTTTCTTTATAGCCAAGTAGTATTCCATTATGTATAGATATGCTTTCTTTATTCAGTCATCTATTGATGGACATATATGTTCTTTCCAAGATTTTGCTAGTAGGAATTGTGCTGCTATAAACATTGGTATGCATGTATCTCTGTAATCTGATGTCTTCAGCTCTTTTGGGAAGATATCTGGGTCAAATGGAATTGCTATTTTTAGTTTTTTGAGATATCTCCATACCAATTCCCATCATGTTTGTACAAGTTCACTTTCCCACTAACAATGTAGAAGGGCTCCTTTTTCTCCACAGCCACATCCGATTTTGCTGTTATTTGGTTTCTTTCTGGTGTAAGATGAAGTCTTCGTGTTGTTTTAATTTGTATTTCTCTAGCGGCCAGAAATGTTAAACATTTTTGCATATATTTACCAGCCATTTGTACTCCTACTGAGAAGTTTCTATTCACTTCACTTGCCCATGTTTTGACTGAATCTTTTATTTGGGGAGGACTAATTTTTTTGAATTCTTTATATATATTCTAGACATTAATCCTCTGAGGAATAGCTGGCAAATATTTTTCCCATTCTGTAGATTGTCTCTTCGCTCAGTTGTTTCCTTTGCTGGGCAGATGTTTTAATTTAATATGATCCCATTTGTCAATTCTTGCTGTCCTTGTGCAATTGGAGATCTGTTCAGAAAATCCTTGCCTGCACCAATGACTTCAAAAGTTTTACCTATTTTATCTTCCAGTAGATTGTTTCTGTGTTAAAATTTATATCTTTGATCCATTTTTAAATTTTAGTTTAGTACATGGAGAGAGATCTGAGTCTAGCTTCAATCTTCTGTATGTGGATAGATTGTTTTCCAGCACCATTTGCTAAAAAGGCTATCTTTTCTCCAATGTCTGTTTATGGCCCCTTTGTCAAAAATCCAATAGCTGAATGTGTATGGTGTTGTTTCTGCACTCTCTGTTCTGCTGCATCGAGCCACATATCTGTTTTTGTGCCAGTACTATGCTGATTTTATCACTGTAGTCTTGTAGTATAACTTGAAGTCAGGTATTGTGATGCCTCCTGCTTTGCTCTTGTCGCTTAGGATTGCTCATGATACTGTGGGCCTCTTTTGGTTCTACATGGATTTTAGGGTTGTTTTCTCTAGTTCTCTGAGGAATGAGATTGCATTAAAGCTATATGTTAGTTTTGGAAGAATGGCCATTTTGACAATATTAGTTCTGCCTATCCAAGAACAGGGAATATTTCGCCTGACTTTTTTTTTTTTTCCAGTAATAGGGATTGAACTCAGGACCTTTTACCAGGCAGGCAAGGTGCCACTGAGCTACATCCCCCATCTGATGACCTCTTTGATTTCCTTTTCCAGAGTACAATACGGTGTGGTTTTTTTTGGTAGTGTTTCACTTCCATGGTTAGGTTAATTCCTTGGTATTTAATTTTTCTTGATACTATCGTGTTTTTTCTTTCTTTCTTTTTGGTACTGGGGATCGAACTCGGGATCTTGCACTTGAGAGGCAGGCACTGGAACCACTGAGCTAAATCCCTGGCCCTTTGATGCTATTCTGAATGGTACTGTTTCTCCTAATTTCTTTCTTGGTGAGTTCATTATTGGTGTTGAGGAATGCTACTTAATATTTGTGTGTTGATTTTGTATCCTGCTATATTGCTGAATGTGGTTATTAATTCTAGGATACTTGGTGGAATTTTTTGGATTTTCTATGTAGAAGATAATGTCATCTGTAAATAATGATAATTTGATTCCTTCCATTCCTATACATATCCCTCTTATTTCTTTCTCTTGCCTGACCGCTCTGGCTAATGTTTCAAGCGCTGTGTTTGAACGAAAGCAGTGATGGTGGGCATCCTTACTTTGTTCCTGATTTTAGAGGGAAAAGTTTTCAGTTTTCCTCCATTTAATATGATGTTGGCTATTGGTTTGTCATAAATGGCTTTTCTGAAATTCAGGTAAGGTCTTTCATACCTATTTCTTTAAGGGGTTTTTTTGGTACAGGGATTGAACTC